ACAATTCTTCCTCGGGGAGTCACTAAAGCATCCAAGACGAACTAAGACCACGCAGTGAGTACAACGCTGAGGGACAGAACATTAAATAAGCAAATTCCCAAAGGAAGGTCGAAGAAAGACGCAAAACAAAAATTAAAAGAAAAATGAGTTGTGATGCGGCGACCACGTGAACATCCTCAAAAGCATTCTCTAGTACCTATCCATTGGGTGAAGAGGGAAAAAGTAGGGTTCACAACACATTTGTAGTAACCTCAAAGTTAGCATCCACAAACGTGAGATTCAGCTAAATAAGACAGTTTCTCAAAATAAGGTGTCCGCTGGGCGCGAAACTCGCCCCTGAAGAATTAAGATTGACCGCTCCAAGCTGATTTGAATAATGAAAATACATTACGGTGGAGTATAAGAAGCATGATGAAGTATATTGTTCACAGCATCACCTACCCCCACAACTTGAGAGCCAGCGAGGTGTCGAGAAGGAAGAATCCCATTCCGAGGTAGTTGAGAGAGAAGAGGGCAGCGAGATTAGTGACAATGTCGTAAAGACGGTGGTACCAGTAGCTTTCAATGAAACAGGGTCTCAACCGCGTTCGGCAAAGCCTGCACAGGAGGAGGCGTTACATTTACGCACAACCTTGGTTGACCATTGAACAGCTCCAAGCTAATAAATGACACTTCTTAACACCAATATGCATTTCAAGAGGGAACAAGACAAATTAAACTTTAAATGAAGGAGTTAGTGATGCATCGAACTCTGATCGACTATTCAATGACCAGACTGAGTTAATCAGAAGTAAATTCGTCAACATTGTAGGTTGTTGAGGAAAAGCAGTCGAAATTTGCAAACTCCTGCAGTTAGCGTCTTTCTAGGACTACTTTTCATTCCAGCCAATTTACGCGTCCTCCAAAAGCACAACACTCCTTCCATTTGAATGCATGTGACTCATCTCGGACACACGAAATGGAGGGGTTGTTGGGTAAACCAAGGACGGTACAAAGGCTATCGACGCATTGACATACGTACGTGAATAAGACGTCAAGCTGAGTAACACAGCAACACAAGTAGAATGAGATCGGAAGCCTGAGACTGGCATGGACAAAAACACACCTTCCAGTCATGGTAAGGAGAGCTGCAGAGAGGAAGCAGAAGTAGTAGACGGGATAGAAACCGTGCCAGAAGGCGGAGACGAAGAAAACCGCGACAACGGCGAAGCGCCGGGGCACACGATCGTAGACACACTCTCGTAGCCACCGAGTCGTGCCAATGTTCCAGTTGTCCAGCATCACCTTCGTGTTGGTCCCCAGCTGAAAAAGGTGGAGAGCGTGTCAGTTGCATCATGAATGCACGATCAAACGGCCGCATAGATGACTCAGGACTTACACTTGAACAAGTGCTGCAACAGTG